TCATGAGGGATACGGTAAATACACAAGGTCTTTTCCCTAGAGTGGGGTAGTCCAAGACTAGAGGGCATAGGTTTAAGGTGAAAGGGGAAAGATTTAAAAGGGACCTAAGGGGCAACTTTTTCAGAGGGTGGTGCGTGTATGGAATGAGCTGCCAGAGGAAGTTGTGGAGGCTGGTACAATTATAACACTTAAAAGGCATCTGGATGGGAATAGGAAGTTTATGCCAAATGCTGGCAAATGGGACTAGATTTATTTAGGATATCTGGTCGGCATGGCCGAGTTGGACTGAAGGGTCTGTTTCCATGCTATACAACTCTATGACTCTATTTCCTCTAAGCTGAAAACTGAAAGAACTGCAGATGCTGGAAATCAAACAAAAACAGAAATTGCTGCTAATTGTGGCATTAATTTCTGGAAGTCGCTGCCACACACAGGCCTTGGAAACATGCAACCTCTTAAAGGAGTTAGAGGGAATGCTGATACAATGTATTCACTTAACATCTCTGCCATGTCCCCTGCCTCAATGTGTAACTATGTTTTGGGTCTCTAATTGGCCCTATTCCTCCTTTAACTAGTCTTTTATTATTTACATGGCTGTTGAAGACTCTGGCATTTCCCTTTAGGTTAAACGTCTGGAAGTAGGAGCAGGAGTAGGCCATTAAGCCCCTCGAACCTGCTCTGCCATTTGAAATGATCATGGCTGATCTTACCTAGGCCATACTGCACTTTATTGCCCATTGCACATAACCTCTCAATCCGTTACTAATTAAAAATCTGTCTACCTCCTCCTAAAAATTTACTCCATGTCCCAGCATCCACCACAGACTGGGTAATGAATTCCAGGTATGTGACCCTTTTAAGAGAAGTAATTTCTCCTCATCTCTGATTTGAATCTGCTACCCCTTATCCTGAAAGTATGATGTCTATTCTAAATTGTTTCCCCTTGTGGGGCATTCTCTCTATATTTATTTTGTCAAATCCCTTTAGCATCTTATATTCCTCAATTAGAACTCCTCTCATTCTTATAAACTCCAGAGAGTGCTCAATCTCTCCTCACAAGACACACCTCTCACATCTGGAATCAATCTAGTCAATGTCCTACTTGTCTTTTCTCATAATTCCTCTTTGATTCTCTTATTCGCTTTTTCACTTTTCCTCTAAACCTTTGGTATTCCTATTGGAACAAAAACAAGGTTGCTGGAAAAGCTCAGCAGGTCTGGCAGCATCTGTGAAGAAAAAATCAGAGTCAACATTTTGGGTCCAGTGACCCTTCCTCAGAACTGATGATGGCTGGGAAAACATCAGTTTATATGCAGAAAATAGGGAGGGGTGTGGGGTAGGGAGTCAACGATAGAATAGAGCCTAAAGAGAGAGAAGAAATGAGTTTTAGCAAATACTCGGTCAAACACCAGGAGTGACAGTGAAATTAATGTCAGTGGGCAAGAAGAAAGATTGGAACAGTATTCCTATTGATTCTGAATTGTATTTTCTGCCTTACACCAACACTTTTTCTTTAGTTTCTACCTACTCTTGTCATCCTGAGAACTGTGGATTTGTTTGTCCTACCTTTCCATTTCAGGGAATATACTTGGGACTGTACCAAAAACCATCTGCTCTTTGAAAGTAGCCCACTATTCAGCTACTGTTTTTCCTACGTGTTATGGACCTCCTGTGCTGTAACCTACAGGGTTATGGATGAAAAGCTAGAAAATGGAAGTAGGCTGCATGGCTTTTTTTTTCTCTGATTTCTGAATAATTGGAAATGCAAGTAAATCTCTGCTTCACCTGGAAAGGGATTTGAGACCTTGAACTGCAAAGAAACAGGATGTAAGAGGTGCCTTGGAAAGGAGAGGGAGTATGGGGGTGACTGAGGAAATAAAGCCTCACAATTCCCAGAGTGATCACAAAAGTGAAACATTTTAAAAAGTAGAATTGCAGAATTTCCCAACTTATCTCTTTTTCAGACTCGGGTTGACAGAAAGAATGGACTAGACTTCTGTACTCAAAAATACTTTTATTACAATTAAATAGATTCTAGCTGCAATAAACAATTATGAACCTTTGACCTACTAGTTAAAACTCGAATTCCTTTATAACTCCTCCTCCACACATATACATGCAGACACGCACATAAAACCATGGTAAAGACTGGAAAGGCAGTTCAGTTGTCCTTATGCAGAGGGTTTGCTGAAATGATCTTTTTGCTGATCCAAACACTGCTTCGTGGTCTTTCTTTTCCAGAACCATTCACTTGTTTGCACGAGACACAGGGTGACTGGTTCCCACTTATATAGGTTGTTGACATTTCAATGAAAAGTCACAGCTTACAGCAATTGGAAAGGGCAAATAAATTAGCTATCTTCAGGCTTGAGCTGCTTTTTATTGTGGAGCAAAATTCAGCTGCTTTGCTTTTAGTGATCCGAAGGTTTCTCCCAGACATTGTCAGTCCCAAGCTGTTCATCTGCAATTAGATCATTGTAGGTAGGCAGAGCCTGCGTCATCAATAACTGGTCACTAGCCCACAGACCAATTCAGGTATTCTTGACTGCTGGAGTTCCAATCACACACAGCTCTCTGGCCTCAACTCATCTGCAAGTAGGTTTCCACTACTGCTTGAATAAGCGACTGTGTAAACAGCACTTCCAATGCTTTTGAAACATGCAGCAATCCTTCGGTTATAAATCAGTCCTTTTGCCATTTCAGTCCGTGATCAAAAAACAAATTAAAAGATTATAGTCTTTACAGAACGGATTCCAGTGTGACGTAAGAAACAGAGTGCTCAGTAGGGAAGGGAAGATGTGTTTGGTGATGGTATCACACACTGGAGTTGGTGATAATGGTGTTTAATCTGTTGACTACAGTCCAGGTGAATTCTATTGTGCTTGGAGAAGTGGTAGGCAGAGAAGAAATAGATCAGACATGGTGGATGGTCCTGCCAACCACGCTCGAAGGTTGGTGTAAAACCTTCAGTCAAGGACAAAGGAAAACATTTCTGAAGTACTAGGATGATTGGTTATATTGTCTGATCAGATTTGACAGAAAAAATTGAGTTTTTTTTACAGGAAGCAGGTTGCGAGAAAGTATAATCAATGTACCTATGGATATCAGTTGGTATGTTTTTTCTTTATTCATTTGTGGGACATGGGCATCACTGGGCCAGCATTTATTGTTCATCCTTAGTTACCCTTGGGAAGGTGGTTGTGAGTTGCCTTATTGAACCACTACAGCCCATGAACTTTCGCTAGACCCACAATGCTGTTAGGGAGCAAATTCCAGGATTGTATAGCATACTGAACTTTAATTTTAGCCCATTGTCAGAGATGGAGAAGTCGAGGATGGGCAAAAATGAAACTTCCCAGTTTGGAATGAGAGCAGGAAGCTGCAACGATAGCTAATATCAGAAAAAGGTGAGAAAGTGGGCCCCATGTAAAGCTGGAATGTGGAATACTTCACATTGCAGAAACAGATTAGATGATCATTTTCATTTTGCAGTTTGTGGGCTATTTGTTTTATGTAAAATCGGAATGCTGCGCTATAGTACCAACATAAGTTGATACTTTTTTTAAATCAATATATTTCATAAGATGTGGCATAGCTGGCTAGTCCAGCATTTATTGCCCCTCTTAATTATCTTTGAAAAAGTGGTAGCCTTGAACCACTGCAATCCATACAAATTTATGCAATTGACCTCTAAAGTGATTTGAGGTGCTATTATATATGCTATATAAAATGCAAGGCTTTTTTTCATGCTTCTTGCCACTGCCAATTTTGAGTCTAATTAGCCCCTTTCTCTCAGATTCCAAGGGATTTTAAGTTACTAATTGTTCTGTTGCGTGTGATCTTGTCAAACCTTTACTGAAATACATTTTGGTTCTAGCAAATGTACTGTCTTCATTAAGTCTGCTTATTATTTTCTCAAAGAATTCAATGAAGTTAATCAGAAATATTCTTCTCTCAAAATCCATGCTGTGTCCTTGATCAGTTTCTCTGAATGACAATTTATACCTGATGTCAGAAATTCTTCCACTGATCTCCTCCCACTGAGATTAGGCCTATAATTACTCGATCTATCTTTTCCCCCCTTTTTAAACCACAGCACAATGGGAGTTGTCGTCCAGCACTCCGCCTATGGTTAGAGGATTAGAAATGATGGTCAAAGCCTCCACTGTTTATTCCCTTGCTTTCCCCAGCATATATGTGATATATATTACATCTGGTATATATTTCATCTGGGCCTGGTGAATTATCTACTTGCAATGAAGCTAAACGCTTAACATTACACACATAAGTAATCTTAAAGCTGGCTATCTGGTGATAACTCTCAATATTTTTTAAGCTGCCATCCACGAACTTTATTATCAGATGGGTAAATTAACTGACTTAAAAACAGAAAGCGCTGGAGAGTTTTAGCAAGTTCAGCAGCATTAGTGTAGGGAGAAACAACAGTAACACGAACAAAAACAAATTACTTGAAAAACTCAGCAAGTCTGGCAGCATCTGTGGAGAGAAACAAAGTTAATGTTTTGGTCCATTGACTCTTCTGCAGAACTGAAGAAGTGAGGATCAGTTCGAAAAAAAGAGTCACACTAGACTCAAGACGTTAACTGTTCCTGTCTACAGATACTGCTATTCTTCTCCAGCACTTTGCTTTTTTTTTCAGATCTCCAGCGTCTGCAGTATTTTGTTTTTATAACTTATTGGATGAGGTTCTGCATTGCTTCCCAGGCACACTACTTAGGTATCAGCTTCGTGTGTAAGTCTTTTCGTGCATTCTGAGTGACCCTTGACCTGATCCAACTTGAACTAACCAACAGGAGATCTGGAAGATCCAAATTCCAACACTGACTAAGTCCTGATGTTGGCAGTTTTTGGTTGCTGTTTCTCCTTCGACACATTTGTGAAAGTTGGGATAGGTTGAAGAGAAATAGGAGACTTCTGTTTTCTTGAAGGTTGTGCAAACGTGCCTGTGTAAATTGCTAACTGTTCTCTTTTTTTTTAAGCATGTAATTCCAGCTTCTATTGAAAACAGCACTGCAGCTCAACCATGGCAATTCCTGCAGCACCACCAAGCTATGCTGAGGTGATGGCGAGTAAGGAACAGCTATTCTCAAGCCAGCAGTCTTACTCCAGACAGCAGCCTTATCCAGGCCAGCATTCTTACCCTATGCAACAGCCTTATCC